AAAGGCACTTTTTTGAAAAATGAAAGTAGCGAGAAAATTTCATTCACTTGATTTTCTGTAACGGATAAGAAAGTTTTGAAAAATCATATATTTTAGTTATCGCATTGATATAATATACGTTTCATTTAGAATATTTAGGCAAATCAGCGTTACATTTGCGTAGCCCCATCTTAAATAAAAAGAAAACTTGTCCCCGAAGAAACCCGAGATTAGCCAGAAGACAAACAGGCTAACATTTTTTTTAAATTGTTGTTTTATTATAAGTACCTACCGTATATACTTTCATATGTACTTAGTAAACAGCTGTTATTTAGACATTACAAACAGACACTTCAATATTATTTATTTGTATAAACATTAGGCTTTAGAGTCATACTAATAAAAAGTACATACAATATCACAATCAACAAAGAAATTGATTACTTTTATACTTCTCGTAACTTCTTGCTGGTCTCTTGAAGTAGAAATACTAATACAAAGTTTGTGTTTAACAAATCTGATGGCCAAAGGCAAGACCATTAATAAATGTTCGATTACTCAAGTTTCCATGACGTGGGTTTCGTCGGAGGCTTACGCTATTAGAATGTATAACTGATAACGATTAAAGCTTCGTCGTCAAACTTTGAAATAGCTTTTTACTAATAAATTAATATTACTAGAGTTCGCATAGTTGTCGAAGTTCGATCATAATAACTATTGAAAATTTGAGGAAAACAAAACATGAATAGAATTTAAGTATCTGTATAAAAACTGTCCTCAAGTTTTTTTATAACTAGACGAGCTTTAATGTTGTCAATAAAAAATATAAGCAAAAGCATAGTTTTTCACAAAAAAAAAGTTAATCGGTTAACAAAACAGAGCAGAAACCGATACTGAACTGTTGTCTTTGCCTACTTATATGTATATAGATATTCTAGTTCGTCCCTACTCACGTTTTAAGGTGTAGGTTACTCAGATATGAGATCTTTTCCCACAGTAAAAAGTATCATACGAATTTTCATCAAAATCTGCCAAGTGGTTTTCTCGTTACGCATTCCCAGACAGAAACACAAACAGACAGACAAAAATTCTAAAAACTATAGATTCGGCCTCTGAATTGATAATAATAACTATTTCATTAAGATTTTCCATAAACTATTTAAAGTGTACAAATTCGACTCAGAATTTTTTTATATGTATAGATTTGTTTTAAAGTTAGATACGTTTAAATTGTACCGACGCCTGCGAGAAAAGTTACGCTAACTCACTTTTCGTATTTTTACACGATTGCGCGTCAAAAATTCAAAAATGCCCTATTTTCTTTCAAGTCCAAACGCCATCCAACCATATTTTAGCAATGAATATATTAAAAATGTAATATAAATTGCATATTTATTACTTTTCGCTAAATCTTTTACTTACTTTCCAAACTTTTATATTTTAACTAGCATTTCCCGCGGCTCTGCGCGCCTTCAGATGACCAAAAACCAAATTTTTCGGTTTTACATATTAGTATACTCTCATATTGCAGTTTTTGTATTTGTTCTCAGAAATGAGATATTTTTCCGCGGTAAAAAGTATCCTTTATGTTGACCCGGATAACTAGCTATCATCATAACAAATTTCATCAAAATCCCTCCAGTGGTTTTTCCGTGATGCGGTAACAGACAGACACACAGACAAAATTTCTAAAAACTATAGATTCGGCCTCTGTATCGATAATAAATAATAATGTCTATTTCAATAATATTTTCCAAAAAATATTTAATGTACAGATTTGGCTTAGTTACAATTTTAATATGTATATGTATAGACTAAAAATGTATTTCAAGTTACACCTTAAGAATTATTCTATCCTTAATATAATTATTCTTCTCTTTTCCTCGAAGTACTTTTATTCTAGAAAATAAATCAGCCAGATTTATTTTCTAGAACGATGGATTTATTTACGATGTCATACATAACAAAATAAGAATATAGTATCCCAAATGGGACTTAGATTGTTTTTCCGATGGATCAATATACTGAAAAACTTGTTGGTTCCTATTTTCAAGTCATTTTGATCGACTTTATTTAGAAAGATTTAGAAGTAGATACTGTATTAGTGTTTTTTCCGTTACGGGAACTAATGTTTATATTTATTTTTTTAAATAAATATCCTAGTCTTACATATATTTTAAGTAAGAAAGACCCCTGAATTGAAAGGGTGGAAATTATTTGAATGTCAGGTGTAGTGATTTTAAAGTTCGTTTTTAAATACACAGCGTTTTTAATCTTTTGTATATGTAATCTCTTATATGTACTATATATGTATAACTGTTTGTTTGTTTGTTTGGTGCAGTCATAAATCGACTTATTTTGAAGGGAATATATGGGCAAGTGTGTTTTAATCGATTTTTCAGGTCCTTAGGCTTTCTCGTATCAAAGGTTGCTGTCGTAGTATTCATAGACCTATCATATATATATAGCCTTCCGTATATAATTATATAATTCTTGCATATAACTCTGTTTCATAGAATGAGGTCAGGTGTTTCTAAATTCTCTCTCTGTAGCAGAGTTACGAAAAGTTATACATACGCAAGTAGTTACAAGTAGGTTGCAAATATTCAGTATATTTTTACTGCGGTGGAATTTGTAAGTATTTATTAATTTTACATATTCTGCAACACTCGTAAAAACTTTACACGTTCAATAAAACTCACTTCTCAGCACTCAAACTAGAAGTGGGACTGTTTGGCACCAATTTTACTGTAAGAGTAGAAATTAAAGCGAATGTTAATGGGCTTAATTTACATATGACTGTGGTTTTAAAATTAATGATTTTATATTTATTTGTATCTTTTTTTTTGTTTTTGTTAAGTGTATTATGTAATTTCTATTGTAACTGTCAACTTCACCGCTCTATATGATTAACTTATCAGTGGAAACTTTATTGGTCTATGAAGCTATTTATTGTACAAATACTGGTAAACACTGTTTGTTTCCCCAATAAAAAAAATAACAGATTCCATTCTTTCCAATAGGTAAAATTTTTGAGTATTCATATTTTGCACAAGAAACTAATTTTTTTTGGATTATATTTTAAATTGTTTCTGACAATTATCCTTAGAATAATAATTATATATATATATATATAAATATATATATATATATATATATATATATATATATATTTATGTAGATACCTAACTAAGGGAAAAACTAATGAAGGGATAGGAGATATTTATAAAAGTATACATTTACTATTATAATAATTATTTGAAATAACTAGCACTCCTTTCCCGGCTTGGTCCGGCTACTTCTTTCATATTATATAATAGTTGCGACTCTTTTTTACACCTTTAGGGGTTGAATTTAAAAAAATATATTTATAAGTGCGCATATGCCCATATATCTAAATATATTTTTTATAAGTGTTTAAATGTGTCTATATAACTTTATGAAACATGTAATTGTGTCAACTTACATATGTCACATTATAACCGTATCTATCGAGTCATAGATAACTTCATATACTTACATATATTGTGAATTGCAATGATGTAATAATACATAATATATACGTATATACATATATGTCGCAGGGAAATTGTAAGATCCGTTAAACTAACTTCACTAGTAAAATTATAATTACCCGGAGTCAATCGTCTCCTTTACTTACAAACAATATCACGGGACATTTTTAGGTAAATTATTAATTTCCCATATACACACATTCGAAATTTTCAATATGAAAGATTTACCTTTTCAACTTCCCATTGATTTATCAAACTTGCTATAAAATTGCGATTCTGTACAGTATGTACGTTATTTATGCGTGCAATAGCCATAATATGATGGTGCTTTCTGTTGAAGCTTAATATTATTTATTGCTTTACGTACTTAATGACGAAGAGGGTCTGCCACCACTTGCACTCGGTACATACTTTACTTCAATAATTTAGTGTAATAGGTATATGGTTTCATGTCTTCCTCCAAACAGTGCAGTTATAAGTCACAATTATTATAAATGCGAAAATTTGTGTAATAAATAAATATAAATAAATATGTTGGGACATTAACACACAGCACCGTCTAGTTCTATGGTAGCTACGAGGCCTGTGTTATGGATACCAGATAGTTGATATAAACATTTAAATACATTCAAATATAAACACCCATGACTGGAGTACAAACATTCGTGTTCATCACACAAATGACCCAGCGGGACTCGAACCCGCGACCGCTGGCACAGCAAATAGGGTCACTATAAACTCAGCCAAACGTCATTGTTGTTATATATGGGTTTCTCCTTTACGCTGAAAAGGTTGTACGGGCTAGGGTTAAATTCAGTACGTACATATACCTCCTTTTTAATGTTGGGATATGCATTTACACTTTACGCAAAGCTTTTGTTAATTGGTTAATACATTAGACATCGATTAAATCTTCGCTCGGCTTTCTCGGGTTGGATAGGTATATTATCAGCTCCCCCCCAACGTGCGTTCACCTTGTCGTGGTGGGGGGGCTCAGTAGTGCCCGGCAATCCAACCGGGCGCGAAGCTAAGAAACGCACAGGGAGGTTGCCCACTTCGGTGGGCGGTGGGAGGCGGCCCTCTTCGGGGGACGGTGTACCTTGCGGGTTGCTCCTGGTACTTCTCTTATAGCAGAGTGGACCTTGGAGCAACCCCATGATTGTGGTGGTCTGATTCGGCAGACCTGCCGTCGGGGCGTCGTAGTTGAATGCGTAAGCGATCCTGCGACGCCCCATTAAGACGGGGGAAGGTTTTATTGGGTTCTCGTGGGTAGTACTGGCTGTATTACGCCGGTGAGTCCCACACGTCGTGCGTAAATGCATTTCCCAACGTTAAAAAAAAAGGTATATTATCAGCTGCTAAAATTCATAGACGTTTCAATAACCTATCTATCGATTACATATTTAATTTAGAGATAGTTTTATAGAAGATTTATTGTAGTTATATTAAATACTAGCTATACACTTACTATATAAATCCATTTATTCAGTCCTTTTTAACTTCCCAATGCTGGGCACGGACTTGCTCTTAGTGCGTGGGGCAGATCAGTCCACAGTCCACCACGCCACGAAGATAGAAGAGTGCTTCCATCTACCTAGTTGGTTATGTTCTATGTCAAGCTTGCTTGAAAATCAAAAGATCAATGTTGCATTTAAGCAGGCTGAGCCGTCGTTCTCGCGTCCGATGTCTCTGACAATCGTGTCAAATTGCCGTCTCATCGGTCTTATGTAATGGGGTTCACCTGTGTGTGCGCAGACACGCCTTTGCTATAATACAATTTGCTGCGTAATTGGCTAGACTATCGAGAAACTGCCGTTGTCAAAACTAGTCAAGTGAATACGTATATATATTATTGTAAGATAATAGGATAACGATATTATTAACAAAGGTAATAATCGTCAATTATATATCCCGTTTCTCTTTGAAATATTTTGAATGAGTATTATGTCGATAAAAACATTTAAAATCTTTGTTTGCATAGGTTAAGGCAAAAAAGTATAGTAGGTGCCATTTTTTCCTCGGTTTGTCAACCGTTTTTTATATTTAGTAACTATCATGTTTAGTGTTTTCAATAAAAAAAAATGCATATATGTTTTTTTCAAATTTTTGACCACAAGACTGACACTTGCTACCGAGAATTAAAATTAAATTTTCATTCTCGGTAGATGATACTTGATAACTTGACGAGGGAAGTGAAATTTATATTCATCATATGAAAATATCAAGAGTGTTGTCGGTTCTAACATCCGTACAACCATTTTCAGTTGATCCCTTTCATCATGTTGCCTTTCAGTAGGATTTTAATAGCAGACAGCTCTTTATAACTAGATGTAACTGAAGAAATTGTTCTGAACAAATTCTATGAAGCAATTATATCCTTTGTTTAGTTTAAGTTTGAATGAGAAATGATTTATTCTTTGTTGAATTTTTAATTTCATTTTGATGTAATCAAACTAAAATTATGTAAGTCAGTAAATGCATAATTTTAGTTTTCTAAATTAAATAAATGAGTGTTTTTAACTTTTTGCTGCAGACTTTTATATTACGGTAGCTTTTATACACCCGAGCAATGTAGATCAGTTTGGATAAAAAGTAGATGGTACTATCCGCCTTATGAACTATCTTTAAAATGAAATCTGTTGCTGTGTGTAAGAAAGTTAAGTCAAAGCAAATTAAGAAGAAAATTAAGAGCTATGTAGTAGACAAATGTTTATGTACATTTAATCTTTAAATAAATTAAAAGTAAAAAAGTTTTTAAAAAATAAGCTTTTATAATAGCCAGACATAAGCAAGATAATTTCCGGCTCTATCTTCAGATCCTCTTCATCATAGTAGAAAGTACTCATAATTACAAAACATATTAGCCCAAATTTGGCTATCCTACTATTATATATATATATATATATATATATATATATATATATAAAGATTAAATGAACATAGTTCACGTAGGTCGTTAAAAGATGACATGTTTGTGGTTCTCTGACCGTATAATATGATCATTAGCCCTTCACAGACTAAGCTTAATTAATCCTTCTGCGCAACGTATATAGAAATTCATCATGTTTTAAGGAGGACCTACACTATTTTTGTAATATTACTCATGGTGATTTTACTTGTAAATACACAAGTTATTTATTATTTATAAGTTAAGCAATATTTTTTTACTCAAAAGATGCAAAATTTTACTCAAGAGTTATTATAAAAGTAAGTAATTAATATATCTTTTTTAGAAAAGAGCCATAGGATGTAAATATTTTTATAAATATTTTCCCTGCTATTTAACATATAATGACTTAAGTGAACTTGAGTTTTTAAAAATGCTAATAATACGTGTTGAAAACAAACGTGTTGAAGAGAATATATTATAATAAAACAATGTTTTTGTGTAGCACCTTCAAAAATTCGCGTTGGTCCCGAAATTATTTCATATTCGTAAAATTTCACAAAAGAATTCACCTTTGCCATTCCGAGTGTGCTTCCGTTATAATTATGCAAGTTCCGGAGATGTTGGTTTTTACATGTAACTGCCTTGAAATGACCTGTGTTATTTGACGTGCGGTAGAGTACTCATTATTTTTATGTTTCAGGTCATTTGAAATAATAAAAAAGATATTGTGAGTTGATGAGAGAGGAAAATATTTTTACAAGACATATTGTTTACTAGCATTGCCCGCGGCTCCGCCCGCGTTCAGATGACCTAAAACCAAATTCTTAAGTTTTACATATTAGTATACTCTTACATTGGAGTTTTTGTATTTTTTCTCTTAAATGAGATATTTTCCCGCGGTATAAAGTATACCCGGATAACCAGCTACTATCGTACCAAATTTCATCAAAATTCCTCCAGTGGTTTTCCCGTGATGCGGTAACAGACAGACAGACATTGACACTTTTAACGTCCCACTGCTGTGCACGGTCCTTCCTTCAGTACGAGGGGGATAAGGCCATAGTCCACCACGCTAGCCAAGTGTGGGTTGACAGATCAATGTCTTTGGTAGATTTGATAGATTCTCTCAGACATGCAGGTTTCCTCGCTATGTTTTCTTTCACCATGAGATAAGTGGTAATCATGTTGGAAATGATTCGCACATGAAAATACCACTGCCTATATATAATATCTTTATATAAATGGGTAAAGACAAAATAGTTCAGTAGATACCTTTCTCGCCTCTGTTTTTCAAACAATTTTCTTTCTTTTTTGTTTTAATTAACTTGAAACGAGCTTTACTGTTGTCAAGATGTAATAAAAAACATTTTGTAAATATGTTTATATAGATAGGTAAAATAAATTCTGTTCATATACCTATATTTTCTAGAAATTTTCAATAATGATTATGGTCGAATTTCGACCATTGGGCGAACAATATTTTAATTTAAACGGCGGTTTTTTATAATAAATATGGTTTTAAATATATTTTAAAGTCTAATTGTAGCTTACCCTAAGATGCTCTTCGTTGGTTTAGACAAAGGGAAAGTAGTAATTTTCAGTTCTTCTTCCATTCTTCGATAATGTGAATATTGCGAATATAATATGTGAATATTGACGCCCAAAATTGTCGTTTTTATTAAGTACTGATTGTCAGATTTACGATGTTTAAGAGCACATTTCATTTATACTAGCTGACTTGACAGATGTTCTGCGTGATTCTTTTTATATTTGAGTTCATTCAAAAGTCATGCACGTCTATTTTTTTCCGATTTTTTAATTTTTTCCCCTATAAGGACGAATTAAATTGAGACGAAAATAATGAACATTAAAAGACATTTAATTGGTCCACCTGTTCCCATATGATGCGATTACCAACAAACAGCAATTTATTTTATTTAATTATACACAACTATGCATAGATTTTTTGAAAGAACGTATTGTAGCACCGACTAGGAAGAAAATTGAATAATTTTACATAAGTATATCTTCTATTTTCTAAGTACCACAAATTACTAGTAAGGTCTTCAATAAAAAAATCATATAAAAATTGAGACAAAACAGCCGTCTAATACGAACTTTTTAAAATAGTTTTTATTTTTGAACTCCGCTAGCGCTTTGGACTCTTCATACAAGTCCACTTTAGTTTTGAGCAGAGTTTGTCGGCTTTCATCGGACCGTAATGACTGTAGTCTCGTAGAGCCTAACCGGGGTATGTGTTTAACGTGGAAAGAGATTGTGGATTCAATTATCGCACGAGGCCGTGCAATAATTGCATTACAACTTAGTTATATAACATAGCATACATTTTAATTGCCATTTAAGCTTATTTTCTTTTCATTGTTTGCAATAAAAGATAAATAAATATATTTAGACATAAATGAATAAGTAAATTTTATTTAACATTTAAGATTTGTTTTGATTACGTATTCTTAATTTAATATGTTACTTCTAAAGTATTCAAACACAATAAGTTCCGTATCTATGTTATATTACTTCTTAGAGATCCCCATGTCCATCTGGTATCCATAACACAAGCCTCGTAGCTTACCCATGGAACTAGATGCTGCGGTGTTAATATCCCAACATACGTATTAAAAAATATATATTATAAAGTTAAGTAAAATCTTAATTCGTCCAATCTAAATACCGAAATGACTCTTTTGTTTTAAAAATTAGTCTTAAAATCCTTGAATTCGCTCTGAAACATTCTAAATGATATACTCGTATAGAGGAAAGCCGTGGTTAGGCAGGATTTATCGCCTGCCGCGTATTATTATGAACTTAATAGCTGTCGGAGTCAGCTGCATACTATATAGCCTATATAATTAAGCAGCGTAGCCATTTTAGCTTAACGATTTCTAAACGTTTTAAAGCTAAGTTTTTTTTATAAAACCCATATTGTTTCGTTTTATAGATGGACTGAGACTTTAAGAGAATCTTACTCCATTTTTTGTATTCTTACCTTCTAGGGCTTTTGTTAGTTTTAATATTTATTTGGCCATCCCTTGAGGACTAACCTTATAACAGAAATTCATGAAAATTGGTCACAGCTGACGAAAATATCGGTAATGTTTTTGAAATTCAATGTATTACCACATTTTTTATTTTATTTTTTAATTCGTCGCAAATTCAAAAACTCTCTTGGTAAAAGCGTCAATATTCATGAGTGGCATAAGTTATTTATTATCTCCCTGCCTGCTTTCTTCTTCCACTCTCCCCTATTATTCATCACCTTATCAATCAGTCCTTTCTATGTCATGTCATGTCTCACACAATCTTTCCATCTCTTCTTCGTCTTCCTCTCCATCCATCTAAATTCATTTTCATCACTCATATCATATCGTGAGCGTGTATATATATATAAACATTAATATTTGCAAAGCACGCTAACCATAGCGTGTTAACGAAATCACTTTCAAAGTGACACAATTTTAAATTTTAACCTAATTATATAATATTAACGAAGTAATTTCCATTGTTTCGCATTACACGCAAAGCTAGAAAAAGTATTCGCCAATAGACTTAATGCTAAGCAGTACTTAATCTGTGCTAAATCTAAAGTACATTTAATTAAAATGAACTAATACATAAATAAGTTTTTAATCATCGTAATAAAATTTGCATTTGTAATTCTATCAACTTAAAAAAAAAGAAATAACAAAACTTAAATACTATGCTTTGTATGGGCTGGCACCGATTTCGAAAATATTTGATTAGGTATGTATTTAATAGGTAGGCTTTAATTACTTAGCCAAAGCACACCGACTTCGAAAATATTTGATTAGGTATGTATAGTAAAAGAAAACTACCAATCAGTTATTTTTTACTTTTTAGTGCTTTTGTTTGAAGTCGGTTTTTATTTTTTTGTTAAAAAGTTTTTATTTTTCCCTTTTTAGTGTAGACAGTTGTAGCAAAATAAGGATTTTAACGTGTTAGGCTTGTCAAATGAAACAAAATAAGCCCAAACTCAAAGTATCTACTATTAGCCGTTGAAGAGTTCCACCTATCCACCTTCTGGCCTTGCCATCAGATCAGGTCAACAATACCGAACCACTGTACTATCAACGGAAATAGAAATACTTGCAAAGTTTCAAGTCAATATGACAATTAGAAGTAGTTTAAATTCATCATTAGTTTTTTTTCCACCCTTAGGGGTATTGGTATTTTTTTTTTTAATTTAAATGGGATCAATCTGGAAGTATACCCTTTCAAACAAAACAAAAATTGTCCAAATCGGTTAATAAATGACGGAGTTCTGAGGTAACAAACATAAAAAAAAAACATACAGTCGAATTGAGAACCTCCTCCTTTTTGAAGTCGGTTGAAAATAACTTAAGGAATATAAGTGTTATAAATTATAATAGTAAAATATCGTAAATAAAGCAGTTTTAATTAAATGTTTATTCGTACAGTATTTACAAAAATAACATTACAAATTCCACTATTAAAAATAAACGTATAAAAAATATTGAGCCTTATATGCATAACGTTTACATTGTAAATGTAGCGTTAGTACCTACTCCAGCATAAAGTTTAATTTTATGGAGATTCAGTTAATCGTTTTACGAAATAATGATGAGAATATAATGATGCTATCATTCCTAAATTAAGTGATCTTAAGTGAAGGAGAAGGCTACAAAATGTTATATTTTAATAACAATCAAGATTAAAATACAAGAGTAAGATTTTAGAAAAGGTAAAGCTCTTGATATTATGTTAATCAATTTTGGTACTTTCTAAGTAATGAAATTGTTAGATTTACAGAGACTTATGCCCGATATCACCAACGTTACCTAAGTTTAAGGGATCCCCTAAGCATGGTTAGGGGTCGGTTAGGGGACAGTTTCTGTTTCACCGACAGTTAGGGGTACCTAAATATTAAAAGACCCCCTAAATTTAGGTGCTCGAAATATGGGCTTAAAGACGATCGTAAAACAAAATTTAATTTAGAGGCTTTTAAGCTAGGGATCCCATACGTAAGTGGTAGCTTATGGGTTGTTGGTGAAATCGGGCATTAGTTACTTAGTTTAGCGATATGTGACACAAGTGCGTGAAATGTTTATAAAAAATACCTTCAAAATTTCGTCAAAGTATTTTTATATGTTGCCGTATAAGAATACTTTTTATACTAACTGCTACAGAAAAACGTTAAAAACCCTTAGGGGATCAAAAGAAAAAGGGAAATGTCTTTGAAGATTGTGTTAAACACTTCAGTTAAATAATAAATATTTAAGAGCTTTTATAAAATAGGGTCCAGTAGGGGCAAGGTCAATAGTTCTAAATAGGACACAGTTACATTAGAATATTATAAATAGATAATTAGTTTAAAATTTGTCCAATTCTTAGAAATGTCTCGGTAGTTCAGAAACGAATTTCCTTAGTAAAAGCTACGTAATTTTTAAATAAAAATAACTAAAGTGTATAATATAACGAATTAACAATCTTTATTCTATAATTGGTAAAGACGACGAATACTTCTCTATTTCAACTTTATACCTAGATCATGAAAGTTTATATAGGATAAGGCAAAAAATTACGGACATACAACCCCTCGCTTCGTTTCGGGTTCGTCCCTAGACAAAAATAAATCCATCCCATGGGAACCGTACATTTTTTCGGGATGATAGTTTATAGGCTTCCTCAATAAACGGACTATTTAATGCAAAAAAGAATTTTTCAAATCGGATCAGTAGTTCTTGAGATTAGCGCTTTCAAACAAACAAACAAACAAACAAACTGCCTCTTTATAATACCTATTAGTATAGATGTGTACGCTATGATAAATTATAAAACAGTTACTAGCATATTAAAAATTTTTTTTGTTAAATATAGCTAATTTATTAAACTAAAATTTCTTACTAAATCTAATTTACTACCATTAACTAAAGTGCTCTCAGTTCGTCTTCGTATTTCTTAGAAAAGACTCCTTCAGAATCGTATTTCTGTACAAGTTCCTTCCAGTAATCTTGTTCGTTGTTTATTAGGTGACTTATGACCTTTCGTACGCTGTTCTTTTGATCTTCTGTGCAACTGTCGCATCCTTTCTGAAGGGCTTCCGTTATGTGAGCTAAAATAATTAGCAAGTAGAATTAGAGTAAGACAATAACGTATTAAATACGTATTTTTTTAGTATTTATGTATATTGTAACATCGATTTAATCGACAATTTTTACAATTAACACGAAGTTGAAAAAAACTACAATGAGTTCCGAAGCAGTTACTGGTGCCTTTTATCGTTCGGGACAAGTGAATAATTAAATATACTATACTTTATCACATATTTATAGCATACAGTTGGGAAAAAATAATAAAACACCCTTTTGAGACTTCCAAACGAATTAATTTTAGTTTTACTAGTAGCCATAGTTCCACTATCCATTTTCTGGTTTTAACTTTACATAATCAACTCAGCATCAGCAAGCTATGACTAGCAACACCCTTGCTTCGCTCGGGTTCGTCCCTAATAAAAAAGAAAATCTATCCTACGGGAACCGTACATTTTCCGGGATAAAAAGCCTATATGCTATTCCAGAATATAATCTATCTCTGTGGCATCCAGATCAGCCGTTCTGGCGTAAAAGAGTAACAAACATCCTTCCATCCATCCTCAAAAACTTGCACATTTATAATATTAGTATAGATTAATGGAATTATGAACTAGTAAGAACTTACATTTTAGCTCTCTCCCTTCAGAAGTACACCTTCCTGTGTCCAGCGTACATTTGATATATGCTATGAGAAGCCTCTTGTTGGCCAAAATCTCATCGATATTGACTCGGTCTAGTCTGTCCGCGTTGATTTGTGCCTGAGTGATTACGATACTTGCTAACAGTGTAGCAGCAAATATTACGAGCTGCATCCTGTACATTATAGAATACACATTTTATTCAGGTTTTTTTTAACGTTCCACTACTGGGCAAAGGCCTCCCTTCAATATGAAGGGGACCAGGCTATAGTCCACCACGCTGGCCAAGGAATACACATATTTTTATCATAATACTTACACCCAAGTCATTTTTTCAAAAATAGAGTACACACAAGTGTAATGTATACTGTGACTTTAATCTATACATATAATGAAATTGTAACTAAGCCGAATTAAATATTTTTTGGAAAATCTTATTGAAATAAACATTATTATCGATGCAGAGGCCGAATCTATAGTTTTTAGAACATTTGTCTGTCTGCCTGTTACCGCATCACGGAAAAACCACTGGACAGATTTTGATGAATTTTGGTATGATGATAGCTGATTATCCGGGTCAACATATAGGATACTTTTTACCGCGGGAAAATATCTCATTTCTGAGAAAAAATGCAAAAACTGCAATGTAAGAATACTCTTATCTAATAATAATATCTAGTATACACTAATCCGTAAAACCTAAGAATTTGGTTTTTGGTCATCTGAACGCGGGCAGAGCCGCGGGCAATGCTAGTTATATACAACAACCATATACATACCATATATAACTCATATGGTTATTTAATGTAAATGTGAAAATAATTAGCGGAAAAGTGATGTGTCCATCTGAGTGGACCTAATAATATCCAGAACAGCGGAACCGAATTTTCTTAGAATGCAATCTCTTTTATTTCCGGTAAAGCAAAAGAAGATGGAAGAACAAAAAGAAAAGAAAGAGTCACTTAAAAAGGAAGATAGAATAAGATCAGTTTAACTAAATTAAACGCGAACAAAAGCTAGGAAATTTTAAAATTGAGATATTAAATAGGATTTTATACGTAATATATCTTTATAACTTTTACTAATAAATATTTTCTTTCTATTTCAGGTAAGTACAGAATAATATACCGTAAGTAAAACTCCTTACGGTGAAGGAAAACGCCGTGAAATCTGGATGTCTGAGAAAACCTGGGAAGTTTTCCAAAGACATGTAAAGTGCACCAACCCTACTTGGCCAACGTAGTGGGCTATGGCTTGATGCCCCACGGTTGTAAGGGAGCCAGTGCCCAGCAGTGGGACGATAAAACAATTGAATACAAATATAATCAAATTATGGTAAAGATGTAAAAAAAATAACTAAGATATTATTAGCTCCATTTTCTTATATATAATATGTAAGATATAAGCTCCATTTTCTTATTTAATAATAGTCTATTAATTTTAAATAAAGGTGCTACTAAAACTACTTACCTTATAACATAAAGAAAATCCTTAGTGTTTAAAACACGAACAACACTGTACTGAGAAATACCTTTGAATGAACCATTGCTTCTTTATATTCGTTTTATATTTGTATAGATTTATTCATAAATTTACCTTTAATTATAAAAATCACGCAACGACATATTTGTAAATTATTCGCTGATGTAATAAGGTCAAAACTAGAAAAGTAAGGTTTATGTACATTTTCTATAATTTAACTTCTGGCTTGTGAATTTCGATTGTGGTTTTAGACAAAAAAAAATATACTGTTTGAAATAATAGGAAATCGAGCAATCCATAATAGTTTTTCTCAAATTTGTGACAAATCGTGCGTTTGAATCAATAGTTTTTTCAAATTCGTCTTATTCTAAATTTAATTTATTTTAATTTAATTATTAATAGAATAAATTTTTATGTTTGTCATTAACGGCTGCAGAGCCGGAGGTCCTCGGTTTGAGTCCTGGGTGGCGCTAAGTATAGTTATTACGTTTCTCTATCAAGAAATTAACCATCTCGCCCCCCTGTCTCGTAATCTCACGTCGTGTCGATTTATCCCACTGGAGTTTGAGAAAGAATTGGTTGGTGTGACCCAAATCGGTTTAGAGGACATTATTATTATATTAATGAAACATAAATAAAATATATAACTACATCTTTGGTCTGTGGAATAATAGGTAAACATAACGTATTCCCAGTTCGAGTAATATCAATATATTTCTATACAATTTATAATCCAGGTCACCGGGAAGGATTAGAATAGATCCTTAGGGGCTTAGATAAAATAAATTCTCGAGTAAACTACTTAATAAAACATCCCTTAGCGGCAAATACATTTATAGCTTATGGGCTTATCAAAATATACCTTGGATTTAAGGAAAAAACTAATGGTGGTTTGAATGCAGGGAAAAACTTATTTCGTGGATTTATGGGTCCCTTTGTTGTAGAAAGTGAATATCGAAATCATATACTTTTGTAACAACTATATTATCTACTCATATATACGTACATTATTATATTTTTAGAAAATACTAGCACTGCCCGCGGCTCCACCCGCGTTCAGATGACCAAAAACCAAATTCTTAGGTTTTGTATATTAATATATTGGAGTTAGCAGCAGTTTATATTGCAGTTTTTGTATTTTTTCTCAGAAATGAGACAATTTCCCGCGGTAAAAAGTCCTATATGTTGACCCTGATAACCAGCTTTCACCATACCAAATTTCATCAAAATCCCTCCACTGGTTTTTATGTGATGCGGTAACAGACAGACAGACAAAAATTTTAAAAACTGTAGATTCGGCTTCTGTATCGATAATAATGTTTATTTCAATAAGATTTGCCTAAAAAATATTTACTGTACAGATTCGGCTTAGTTACAATTTTATTATAGGTATGTATAGAAGAAAGAAGAAAAAATTCTTTTCGGTTTGTAATGTACATACCTACATGTATGTATTTGAAGAACTTAAATTCAATTTTGGTTCATATTCAGAAATCGGGAGTTATTTGAAATTTTGAGTTTTAAAATAATTAATTTGATAGTTATGTATGTCCATGTGGAATGCTCCAGCTCTTAACGAGGCACTAAGATTATTTGCTCGTAAAATAGACTACTATTATAATTGCAAAAGTTTGTATGAATGTTTGTTACTTCTTCATACTGGGACGACTGGATTGATTTTGATGACTTATTACATATATAGATTATAACTTATAAGTATCACATATAGGCTACTGTTAGGCATCCACTTTTTGGTACACTCGAGACAAGAAAGGGCAAGACGCTAGTAAAAAAAATAAAATTTGAATAATTCTATAGCATTTGCTCCTTTACTAAACAAAAATAAAAATAATCCCTTTGCAATAAAAGCATTTTTTATTATAAGCTAGTTGAACGACCACAACGGCATTTCGAGCCCGATGGTCGAATGATTTACCGATATCCGCTATCACGGGCTTAATTTACCAGAAAGTATATTTCGTGACTATTCGTGGATATTTGATCGCAAATCACCATCAATCAATCATCGTGTATTTACCTAATTAATGCACTTATGGCTACATTTTAATTTTTTTCAGCGGAACTAGGCTACTTTTCTAAATTAAAAGTAGCCTAATTTACTCCTTATAACATCAGCTATCTGCTAGTGAAAGTTCCGTCAAAATCAGTGCAGCCGTTTCGGAGATTAACTGTAACAGACAGACATTTTTTTTTAAAATTGTGTTTTTCTTATAAGCACCGTATATAATTTCAAACGTATTTAGTAAAAAGCTATTATTTTGACTTTTCAATTTCATTTATATGTATATGTAACAGTAGTATTTCTTATTACTTTTAAGTACAATTAATGCAAAAAAAAAAATTGTTTTTTTTTTCACTTACATAGCCATGGAGCATAAAATGGACATGATTTTTACATAAAGATATTTTAGAGATGGGGGAGTGACAAACTATTTTTATCCAAGCACCAACATTAAGAGGTGGATTAAAGATCTGATGCAAATAGATGTGGGTCACGGTTGGTACAAACGTAATATTTAATTTTACGCATAATAAAGAAATTCAAATGGGTACGTATAATAAATAATTGTAAAATTATGTCCGAATTTATTATCCAATTACAGCAACTTAACTTTCTAATAGAAAGAATTTGTGCAAGAGATATAGTGCACAAGTTTGTGCACAGACACACATACCCTATACTTTTCACTCGTAAAATCAGATAGAACGATATTTCCAAACGAACAGAGAATGAACTTTGGAGAGCATTTTATAAGAGTATAACATCGTCAAATTCTATCCGGTCTACGATTGCTAATTTCTTTTAACAAAAAACTAGATTACTACTCTTGCCCAGACCCGAGATTCGAACCTAGGACTCGACTAGATCAACGACAGAGAAGATAGTAGTACAAAGCAAATGGATTTAAACTTTTATTGGTTAACGATATGAAGGTAGCGACCCTTAATCATTTAATGCCAATATTGATTTAGCTTCACCATGACTAGAATTATTAATAAAGTAATATTGTATTATCCATATAGTAAGATGTAACAAACAGATGAACACATACATTTATAATATTCTAGGCTCAGAATTAAATTTGAATAAAATTGAATTTGCTCGTTCAGCAAAAGGATGAATAATTTATTCCATACATCAGTTGAAAAATATATATTTTTTTGCAGTGAATTAAAAATAATTCAAATGAATATTTAAATATAACATGATAAATAAAATATTTATAAGATAGGTGAACTAATAGTAACTTCGAAGGCGTATATACATATCTTTATATATATAATTCTTCTGTGAGTGTGTATGTCACTGAACTTCTCTCAAACGACTAGACCGATTTTGATGAAATTTTTTGTGTGTGTTCAAGGGGATCTGGGAATGGTTTAGATTCACAATTTGAATAATAATTTTCATCAAAAAAATTATTAAAAAAAGTTTGAAATTTTCAAATTAAAGACGTGTAGACAGGACAACGTCTGTCGGGTCCGCTAGTTTATTATATACTAGCGACGAGCTCTCGTTTCGCTCTGGTTCGTCCCTAGGTGATTCTTTAAATTGACATAACTTTTTTATTTATGAACCGATTGAAATAAAACAAATACTAAATGTTAAGTGAAGCTTACCACAATACACTAGTACTCATTGCACCCAAATCTGTTAAGCTGTTTCTGAG